TCTTCCCGCCACTTTTGATGCACTCCTGACGTCATCACGTTTCCGACTTCCGGAAAGTCAGCGATTGCATCACAAATCTGACGAAGGTTGACGGGATCAGCCGAAAATTTATGGTGAGTTCTCCTTATTGTGTTGGAACAAGTCAAACTCTTTAACTATGTATTCTACCAACACAGATGAGCTTTCATTCGAATATCTTAGTTTTGCCTATATTTTATCTGAGCATTCGCCATAAACAAAGAATAAACCTTAACTATCAAGTTTATTTATGTTTTTTTGTTATTGAAGGAGTTCAGAAGAGTTTATAAATTGGTCGAATTGTTCAGGTACAGGTTCAGGTCCGGACCTGTACCTAAACCTGTGTACCTGTACCTGTACCTGTACCTAAAATTTGTTTAGGTACACAGCTCTACACTCCTGTGACAGTTTTTTGCACCACTTTATTGTGTTATCTTGAACATTAAATTTGAGGATTTGACATATAGAAATTTAAAAAACCCTTCGCGTGCACTAAAGATCCTTTTGGCCGGCATCACTTCCATCGATCGTGAGCTTCCCGGGTTCTCCTCGGTGCTGAGAGTGTCACTGGCCCGCCCAAATTAAGTTAGCGCACCAAGAGGATTTTTTACAGGTCTCAGATAGATCTGCAGCCTTAAAAGTAAGCAATGCGCAGTGGCATTGGACGGGTGAAACCTAAGCCTGAGCCTATGGGGTGTGTTACCTGGCAACTTCATTGTAAAAGTGGTCCTTTTTGCTAGAAGGGCCATAATTTTATCGCAACTATCGTAAACTCAAGAGAGTTTCATTTCCGGTCAGCGGACGGTGATGTGGTTATCAGCACTCGTCATCGGTGATAACCTTCATAACAATATCGGTTAATGTATCCCTCCGCGCGCTATTGGGCGCCAAAGTGACGCCTTTTGGGAACTTTGTCAGGCATATCTTTCTGTCCATCTACCTTGATCGATCGAAGTACTGGCGTAGCTGTCAACACGACTGGACTTCATTGTTGAAGAGTTTGCTTCAAATAATCAATCTTCTGAATAACATCGTAATTTATCAAGACCTGTCTATCATTCTATATCGATTATTCAAAGAATTGATCTATCTATCGATATCAGATGACTCATATAGATGCACAAGACTAACTCCATCGAATACCTGCTACTGAATAAGCATAGCCGTAACTGTAAGAGGTAACTCCCTGTAACATTCTTTTTCTCCCATACACTCAGACTTTTTTAAAAGTACCAACCGGTACAATATATTTACAATAATATGATATGATGTGAAGTGTCATAGTACAATGCAATAGCTCAAGCAGATACGATTTTAGTATTTGACCTAGTCATGAAACAAATGAACAAAGCCTGCTATGGCAGTGAAACTAAAGGCAAAACGCCAGCATACCAACAATATGAAGCTTTGGGGTGTCCGATTGCCTCACAGATCTAAACAACGTAGTCTACTGGTCCAGCATTTACCACCGAGCATTTCTGAGGGAAGAATCCTGTACGAGTAATCCTCTACAACTAAAGAGAGACCGTTACAACCTACCTTGCTCCTCGAAGTGTCCTGGAAACAAACTTAACACGAGTCAACATCCAGACGATGAACACTGCCGTGCAGTAGTTCTTCTTGAGAGGCCAAAAACTCTTGTCCAAAACTGAAGAGAAGAGCTGATTGCCCGTATCCGACCAGTAGCTGCCTATGTTTTACTACCTTGGACAGGTTGACAGCCATAACATTTCTGCTACCTACCGAACTGTAACATTTGTGCGTCTGAAGAAACCCTTTCATC